TGGAAATGTTGCCTGTGCAGAGGAAAGGAAGAGTGTTTCCTGCAGAATGTATAGAAATGTTTTTCCAGACACACGCTGTTACCGGTGCACAACCTTCACCATGTCAGCCATGCAGTGGTGGGGACAGATTTTACCCGTATCATACCTGTGAAGTTTCAGTTTGTATAGTTATTGAAGTGTTTTTTTAGAGGTTCAAAGGTGCCTTTAATGCTCAGAGCTCCCCCTGAAAAAGAACTGCACTCACATATGTGCCGTCTTGACATTTTTCTGCATGTATGCCAAGACCTGACCTATGTCCTTTGTCTTCTCCTTCCTCCCTTTGCTTTTTGCCTCCACCTCTCTCTCTCTCTCCCTCTCCCTCTGTCTTTTTGCTGCTTGTGTTTGTCTCACTTCTCTCCTTGCCACCTGCCTGTACCTGCTGTCGACCTCTGACCTCCAGATGAACTGTATGCTCAGAAGCTGAAGTACAAGGCCATTAGTGAGGAGCTGGACCATGCCCTCAATGACATGACATCTCTGTAGATGCTCTGCTTCTCTCTTCCCTTTACCTGTCTCTCTCCAAATGACTGGACTCTCTGTCTTTCCCTCTGTGGACTGTATGTGCCTTCTGCCGCTCAGTGCAAACAAAGTAATTAAAACCTTTGCAGTTTATATCTGTGTTCTGGTTGATCTAAAAGCCATCAAAGTTATTTTTTTTAAAATATCAGATTGACGAGTATTCTCTGATGTGTAAGAGATTTTGTTTGATGTCCAACTGATAATCACTTACAAAAAAAGGTGAGCTTTTCAGTTGAGATTTACTCTGGTTTTGGTGTGAATTAATATTTTCTGTTACAGTTTGAATCTTTATAAGATCAGTCAGTGCGTAAAATACAAACTCCAAACTCATTTGTCAAAAAGGTTGGTACACGTTTTAAAGATGCAGAGTAACATTAGTGATTTAGTAACAGACCTGAACCTGAAAAAAAACAAACTGTTGTGGTTGGACAAATTATTATTATTATAAGGGAATTTAAAGACACCCTGTTCCTAAATATAATTGACCCTGAATCCTTTGGTAGATGATGCCTCTAAAACAAAAACTTCCTACTAGTTAACCTGTTGATTGAGGATCCTTCTAGAATGTTCCTAGAAATCCTCTTTAAAGAGTTGCACGCGGTAAATTAAGTAATTCTCTTGTGAAAAATATTACAACTTTTTTCTTTATTATTAGAAGATATTATTGCTCTTTTTGAACGTGTACAAACTTTATTGGAAATGTTGTTTGTATATTAGGAACAACTTTTACCCATCATTAGCTTCACACGTAGGTAGGTAGGCTACCGGACACTCTTAACAGCCTCTAAGAGAATAAGGAAACTATGGGGTTTTTGCATGACCAACACTGATGTGTGGTTGAGTTTCTGCATGTGGCACAACTTAACCAAAAATTGTTGTTAATTCTTTTGTTTTTTTTCCACCACGGATGGTTTCTGGAAAACCCCACATTGTTCAGAAGAGTAAATGCTGCACATTGTTTGCTGTTGTTCAGGGCTTTACTGAGTTCCTTTCCTTTTTTTCTCCAGAGAAATTATCAAGTGCCAAAGAGGAGAACCTGGGTATGCACCAAGTCCTGGACCAGACCTTACAGGAACTCAACAGCTTATAAACACACAGAGAGGAAACTGGAGAGGATGATGTTGTCATCATCACATTCCATCTCATGTTCGACTCCATTCCACATTTCGGGCTGTAAAATCTCTATTCCCTCATGTAATGGGGGGCGGGGGGGTTAACTTAATGGTTGTCCCCTGAGGGTGTTTCGGCACAACTTTTGTTTCTTTTTTAATACTGAAGGTCTTTTTGAAATTGTCTTCTTTTTTTTTTTAATCTCCAGATATAATTGCAGAAATCCTATACAGAAATGTATTTTTGGCCACTCATTTGGAAAGAACTGGCAGTTGATACACCCACGGGAACCTCTTATTTGGTCAGTCAACCACTTACACAGCCTCAGTTTTATATTTTTGTGTGCACATACATTATGCCTGTCTTATATAGAAACACATAAGGCTACAGATGGTGTTGGGGTTTCTCTCACTCCTCAATAGTGCAGCTCTGAAGCGCCACCCGGTGGTAAAATAAAAGCCAGTTTACTTTTTTCAATGACGTCACAACATCCGTGGAAGCTACAGGTCACTTTACAGGAAGGTTTGAAGAAAGATATAAAGTGAGATATTTCTAAAATAAAACGTGCAGTTGTCTACATGCTCTTGGTAACCATTTTATTAGAAATACAATATATTGTATTACATGAGTGAGTGAAACCCTCAACCACTGGAAGCTGGGTTAAGTTTTGCCAACCATGGATACCTATTGTATATAGTAGAATAATTTTAGGTATGTGAGAGGTTGTAATGTTTGACTTTTTTGAGGAGAGGTGGGGTTACAGGTGGGGTTAAGGGTTTCATTTTTGCCACAGGAACTCTCAAGACCAAAGAACACACGTGAGGCGGATCTTAAATTGTTAAATTCTTTATTTTCGTTTTATTCTAATGGTCTCCGTGGTGTCATCTTGTGCCAGGGCCATGAGTAGCATCTCATTTTGAGTAAAGCTGTTTTGACATATTTCATTCTCCAACCCCTCTACGTCAGTCTAATAAATGTTTTACAGATACCACAACTCCTTTGCCTTTGATTTTGTACTTTTTGACAAAAAGACATACAGTACATGATAGAACTATATATCAACCCCTGTGTAGCAGAGTAGAACTACTGTCTGCCATGCATTAACAACTCTGGGTTAAACTCCACCCACTTCCCAGTCTTTGTCAGGAAGTGGATCTGGCCAAAAAAAACTGCAAAATGATTCCTACAGCTCAGCTGTTACTACTATAGTAATATAATGTCTTGGATAAGTAAACTAAGTGCACATGTTATTGACGTATATTAAATTGAAACGTAGGGAATGTCAGCTTAATGATTCCTGAGTCTGAATTTAGTTACAAAGTGTTGATTTTTTTTCATTGAGTTTTTCATCATTACTTATACTATATTATCATTCTTTGCTGATTGTTGAGCTTGTATGATGTGACCCATTGTCCAAAGCTTTGGTATGTCAAATCACTACTTAGTTATTGAAAAAAAAAATTATGACAAACCTTGACTTCTGTCAGTATGATGTCTATACTTAGTTTGTATCACTGGAATTTCCCAATTTGTGCTTATTTTTTTAAATACACACAAACAATGCATCTAAATAATTTGTAGGATAGTTTAGATGAGCAAAAAACATTTGTAAATTCATACAATACCATTTTATACATCATACAGTAGTTTTTTCGACTATCCTAATGAAAATGTTCCACTTATTGAGTCTTAATCAAACCCACTTCTGATTTCAGAGTTGGAGGCTCAGCCTCTTTAATCCATCCTCTCTGCTGTGGTTTTAAAGGTAAACTGATGCTCAGGAATGTTTCCGTCTGAAGGAGCATCCTACAGGGGAGGGGAAATTAAATTTAGAATATCAGGAAACAGATGGTGACGCTGAAGGTAGGTAGATTAGTTGTATATATCTTGACTTAATTACCTTAGATAGATTCCTATTTTAATAGGTTCCTATTAAAAAAACTGGCAGAAGAATGAGCAACTGCATTTATATCAGAGGTTTCTCACCAGTCGTTAGCCTGCACTTCCCCCCTCGTGGATGGCACAGGATTATAGAACATCCTGCACAAGGTACCACAGTCTGGGAATGGCTGAAGACGGTAGTGATCCTATAGCAGCCTGAAAAATGTAAGAATAACCCAGCCTTTGTAATCACACACGTTAGTGTTGAAGAAATGTCTAACAATGTGTGGAATTGTAGTTCACTTTTACCCATGCATTTAACATCCAAGAAATAGGAGTTAGGACTCTGCACCAGCCTTTTCTTTTTATGTCTTCTCTCATCTGTGAAGCTGGGGTGCATCAGATCCCTGGCCAGCTGTGATTGGAGGAACAAAGTACGTTCAATATTCCTATCACCTCAACAAGACTTTTTTTTTAAACTAACATCTCTCTGCCATCATGAAACAAATTTTATGCTTTTTATCTGCAATACCATATGCTTGAAAACCTAATTCATATAGTCTACATGCAATGTGTGCTTTATATTTACTGATGGGAAATGGTACACACTGAGAAAAATGATTTAGATAATAATATAATGTCCAACACATGAACTGCTTGTCAAAATATTCAACACAGAATTGTATAATAAATGCTTAATATTGACGAATTACATGTAAATATGTTACATTTTACCATGTAAAAAAATAATCAAGTAAACATTAACTTATTTGGTGGTAACCCATAGGATTAAGACACATTATTACATTAAGAGGTATTATTATTTTTTTATTATTATACTTCTATAATGAAAGGCTCGAAAACGTTGTCTTTTTAGTTGACACTGCCCCCTATAGCCTGTAGGATAAACAGCTGGTTTCTGGGATGTGCATGGACATGTCCAGGCAAGTCTGAACAGCTTTCCTAAAGCAATACCTGTTCATTTTATGACAGATATAACAAGTACATCACTAATAAACAGTATATTATATTAACATGTTAATGTGACTGTATCGGTCTGTTTCCACGTTTTAATTAAATGTAAAAAGGAGACAAAGTATTTATTGATGAAGAATGTGTTAAATGAAATAGACATTACTTACAGACATCTTGTCCAGATATCTCCAAAGTTTGCTGAAAGGTGAGTAAATCTTAGTTAATTGACTTTTTTATTCTTTGTTCTATCTCAACACTTACACTTGTGATCTGTTAAAGCTCTGCTATTACAACGTCTAAAGTATTACGAACGCCTTTGAACGAGGGGGTGGGTTCTGTGACGTCAGAGCAGGAACCACAGTAACTGACTAACTACTAACGTTGTAAACAACTATACAAAATGTTAAACTTCTAAAATATAAACGTATAGTTTAAAACAGCATTTTCAACTGTAGTTTGGTTAAGGCTTTAGATTAAAATACACACAAAACGTCATATATTCAGTTTATTGTTATAGATGACCAAAGGAATCACAACATATACACATGCATTTAGCCAATTCTACAGGTAAAGATTCATATTTTGATGAAATAACCCATACCTCAGTATCCCTTAAACGGAAAATACATTGCGTTTATCTAGTGTCGACTCATTTAAAAACATAGTCAAATCAGTCACGATTATTTGATGTAAAAAAAAAAAAGAAAAAAAAAAAAAAAAAAAAGAAAAGAAAGAAAAAAAAAGAAAAAAAAAAAAAAAAAAGAAAAAAAAAAAAAAAAAAAAAAAGAAAAGAAAGAAAAACAAAGAAAATAAAGATGACGGTAACAAAAACACTTCATACATGTGGGTAAAATACGACCTAAACCTATCGGTTTCATTATGGTACTGTCGACTATAAAAGCTGGCATTAGTGAACTAAGGTCACTCAGGCCATAGGTCTTGGTATAAATAAATTATTTCATGTCTTCAATGTGTTTTAAACATCTCGTTGCTTCATTACATCAGTGTAACAGCGAACACCATTGAAAAGTGAAACTAATTTCAGTTTGCCGTGGTTACGACTAGATTATCGATGCCTAACGACACCGTGACGTCTATAATTTTTCCATCCTGTGTCGCATGATTTTTCGTGCACATATCATTTCTAAAGCACTACTATTGTCACTGATTAGCAGCTGTACCTAAGACCGGGTGACATTACATTTAAAAACGAGCACACCCAGAGGCGCAGCAACAAAGGCAGTGACTTCCGGAGCCACGACGACAGCACAGAGTGGCAGTTGATTTGACCACACGGCTGCTCTGCGCACTGACGTCTGTGCTTTTGGACCGGGCGGGATATCCGCACTAGTAAAGCTAGCTCATAACATGGCGAAGACATACGATTACTTGTTCAAACTACTTTTAATCGGCGACTCTGGCGTCGGAAAGACCTGTGTGCTATTCAGATTTTCAGAAGATGCCTTCAACTCGACGTTTATCTCTACTATAGGTGGGTATATGTCGTGTTTATCGAACTGTGTTGCCTGAAAAGTGGCAAAAGGGCAGCCCATCCTGTCGTGCTAATTCGATGCTAACTGTTGCGGCTAGCGTCAATGTTATGTTGGTGGCTAGTCAGGAAATAGCTCAGCCGGTTCAATTTAGGCTCTTATTATACTAGAACTGCCGACAGACTCTGTTCGTTCTATTAGCAATGTCTTAGACTAATGTCCAAATAAAACAAGGTGGTTAGACATTCATCAGGACTTAGTTTTTATGTGGACTTTAACTGTGTAAAGTTGAGCTAGCAGGCTAACAGCTCTGTAAGTGAGTTGGTGTCATTTCTGCATATGACCAGCTGCCTGGACTCTGCTCTCTCCCACCCAACATTACATAATGAACTCTACACACTCGGTGATAGAGTAGTTTAATACTCCTGCTGTGATTATGATCCTGAAGCAAACTTTGCTCTTTGTAATTAGGACTTTGTTATTTCAAACTTGGTAAATAATACTATTTTATTTATTTGTTTGTTTTTTCTTCCTACAGGTATTGACTTCAAGATCAGAACAATAGAATTGGATGGAAAGAAGATCAAGCTACAGATATGGTAAAAAGAAAAAACCACCCACATGCTTTAATTTCACAGCTAGATTGAAAAATAGAAAGACTGATGACTAGACATGGGACAATATCAAGATTTCATGCCAACGTAAATCTGACTTGCATATATGAAATTTTAAACATTGTTTGTTTACCCTGTACTTCAATGAAAAACTTTTTTGGGTCAAAATGAGATTTGACTACTTAACCTTGTCTGCTGCTTATAAATAGTTTTATGTATGTTTTTAATCTGGAAAAAAACCATTGCAATGTGGCGCAATTTAGTTAGTCAGTTCGTTTATTATGTGACAATGTTTATAACTTTCTTAAAAAATAAATACCTTGCGTGTCCTTACCATCTTCATAAGCTGAGTGAACAATGTCATTTTGTCACCTCCCATTGTAACATAATACTTAGGCTGCCCTACAAACTGTGGCCACATAATTGACCTCTTTAAAAAAATAAAAGCAAAAAAACAAACTGAACATTATAATCCCAGAGGTAGGGTGTGTTTTCATTGTGTAGTGGAAGTAGGTTGGCCTGAGTTGGACGTAGCTGCTGTAAAGCAGGACAATAGCTACTGCAGTGCTCCTGCACAAAACAAAAAAAATGTGTCAAAAGCAAATGTCAATTTTAACCAGAGATATATTAAGAATGTAATAAATACTCTTTCACAGTCATTCATTTAATTAATTGTATAAATGTCTGCCTGCTAAACAAGCAAAATGTAAATTTCCTGTGATTACAAATATTATGTATTTCCCAGGAAACACAATTATGATTTATTTAAAGTGAAGTAGTTTACTCTGAAATTTCTCATACTGTATGGTTACCCCTAAACAAGACTGCAACAATTAAATGCTGAGTTCTGTGTGTCGTCTGAGTGTGACATATCAAATTGACCTTTTTTTCAATTTGCATGTAAAGTACCATTATTAAATTTGAAAAAATAATTTTAACAAAAGAAAGAATGACAACAAAACAAGCATAATGACAGACTTTGTAAACAAACTTTGTAAACAATTAGCAACCATTTACACCTGAACATTAATAACAGGTGTGTTGTCTACTCTGTGACTTCTTATGTGGTTCTTAGAAGTCAAGACAACAAATGGGTCACATTGTGGTTTGCAAAGCAGCATTCAAAATACTGTTTTGGTTGAGCCCGTTGACTAAAAACAGCAGTTACTCGTTGCAGCAGGGAAACAGCCAGGGCTCCACAGTAACTGTTTGTGTATTTTTGGTTGTGTGTGTGTATATATACATATATGTAAATATATACTCTTCTATATTTTAAAATTTTGACCAAGGATTTTTTTCCC